TAAAAATAATTTTAAAAAATGTATTTACCAATGCCAATTCACACCAGCCACTGTGCAAAACGCAGAGTGGCTGGTGTGCAGTGCCCACCACAGTGCCAATGCCCCGAACCCGGCACATTGCACTGTGGGTTTTATTTTTTTTAGAACTTTTTTGAAAAGTGACATTTCATTCAGTTCTATGGGCACAGTGGGGTGCTGTCGCATTCCACTGTGCTGAAAAAAAGTACTGCATGCCGTACTTTTTTCAGTGCATGCCACCCCTACGCCCTTGCCTTATGGTGGGGTAAACCGAGACCATCTGTGATGAAGCAGATTGCTTTGTCTTGGAAACAACGGCCAGCACAGCCCCTACGCATTTGGTGTGAATAGGTCCTTAGATGTTTCTTTGGTGAATGTCTTTGTGCAGATTCCAGGCTAAACTGAGCAGTTTGTGCAACCAGAAGGTCAAACTGAGCTGCTTCTCCATAAATACACTGCTTGTAAACCTTTAACCCTTTGTTAGGAAAGACCATGTTCAGACCTAGTTTAAAACTGATAATTCTGCGAACACAGAACAGACAGGATTAGTTAGAGCACACATAACTTACCACAGCCCCCTTCCTTAGCATTACATAGAAGGGAAGCTAGGTAGTATAAAGCACTAAAAAATTAAAGCCGCAATTTTTATTAATGATATTAACTAAATGTTATAGTTATGTGAATGAATGAGAACTTATAACAATTATAAAGTAGGTGCTATCCCAATTAGGTAGCAAAAGTGAAACCACACTTTAAAGAAAAGCACTTCTGATTCAAGCACTATGCTCCTGTTTTCTCTGTACATTGGACATATTTTAAGCCGAACTTAATGTAAATAGTTAAATTTTCATAGATTTAGTTTTAAGATTTCTTCCTTGGACCTAATTTATGTAAAGCTTTTGCATCCGTCTATACTCTGCTGAGCTTTATTGCGTGAGCACTTTATGGATAGTATATGTTTACATGTCAGCTGGAGACCGGATCCTCCCTCAGGAGTTCCGTGCAGGTTGTGGGAAGAATACATGTTCTGTGGGGTTGTTGGTTAAAGTTGGTTAAAGTATTTCCTATCTGTGTCAAACCTTCTAGAGGACACTAACAAGGAGATCACTGGAGGGAAGGCATTATTTTAGGGTATTTTATACTTCAGTGTAGCGATAAAATGTGTTTACAGTAATTGGGGTACATTGGAAAGCCTTCATATTTCACTTCAAGTATCATATTATTAATACAGCTGAGAAATAAACCGTTGTATATCGGGCAAAGACAAATTCAGTAATTCCAGCATGTATATCTGATATTTGTAAAACAGAGTAAAGCTGTGCTATTAGGCCAGATAGTATTTAGCTAGTCTTGGCTTCTTGCAATATTCAATATACAGTAGTTCAATACAGATACGTTGAGGAAATTTATGAAGCATTGCAAGGAAGTTGTTGTAATATAATTTTCGTGTGTGTGTGTGTATATATATCTATATATAGATCTCTCTCTCTATGTATGTATGTATGTATGTATGTATGTATGTATGTATGTATGTATGTATATGGATAGATAGATCTATATATTATTTGACCCCCTGCAGATTTTGTAAGTTTGCCCACTTACAAAGAATTGAAAGGTCTATAATTTTTATCATAGGTGTATTTTAAATAATCAACCAAAAATCCAGAAAAAATGCAAATGTTTTAAATTGAAAAAGAAAATTACTCCCACCAAGTCCATCCCACCAGGTCCATGTTCAGCCATCATTTTGCCTCCTCTTTCTTCCCTTATGGTCAGGGATCAGCTTCTTCACTGTTTTTACTCCTAGGGTCTCTAGTCAGCTGCCTCTCTTTCCCTTTTAGTCCTCTGCAACATGAACGCTTTAAACTTTGCCTCCCCGTGATCAGTTTGAGTGAAATGCCACTTGAGTGAAATTACATGTAAGCTATATTACAGATAACCTTAATACTGTATGCAACATTCAGATCTAATACATGTTCTAGTTTCTGTGGGCCAGATGAATAAAGCATTTGTATTTTTTTTTTTTATGCCCACGGTGCGTGCATCGGGAAAAAAGTTCACCAGGGTGCTTTTAGTGCTCTTCCGAAGAGGAAGCGGTTTGAATCCCTGAATTCCCTTGGGCACAAGGCTCCTGACGGGCATGGTACTCTGGTCCACCTAGACCTAAACAGGCAGACCTGCGTCCAGGGACAGTGATTTAGTCCAAACTGCATGTAGTCGTATCACTACTGCCACTTACAGATGCGGCCGCTGTCACTGTGCTATTAACTTGAGTGGGTGATAGTGGCAGCATCTACATGGGGACACCTGGCATTCCTGCCGCAGGAATCCATGGGTTTGCCAGAATGCACAGTGGGAATGAGGCCAGTTTAAACTCCAGGCAGTCAGCAGAATACTCATTTGAAATACATAGATTTTGAACTCTTTTACTCTCTTTTTTCTCTCTTTTCTTTTCAGCTTTGCAGTTTCCTGTATTACTGGCCAATGAATCTACATTGTCACACTGCAATATAAATGCATCTTAAACCTTTGGTTTTTGCTATGAGTTCTGCTTTTTGTTTTTTAAATGATTTCATTTTTTATTTCCACAATATCTTTGTGTATATATTTTTATTTGAACTCGGTGCACCCAAATATTACATTTAATATGCTAGTACGTTACAAGTTAATATTTTTAGTGAGTGATTTTACTTTGACAACATTTTTGTGTTCTCTCCCTGTGTGTTTATTGTTTAGTAACATGAAATAACAGGGACAGGAACGATGTACAAAGCCATCTTTTTTTCTTCAATTGCATTTATTTTATATTAGGCCGGATGTCACTTCTTTTTCTTTGTGGGAGCTGAATGTTTTAGTATTGGTCAGCATACTTGTTCTGTGTATCCTCATGCCCCATCGAGAGAGGAAATATATATTCTATGTTATCTGTTTTTGCATTTCGTCTCTTCCCCTCATGGTGAAACCCAGTCTATTTTTTCAGCTGCCTGGGAAGGCCGTGGGAAATATATGTATTATCTTTACTTGTGGGCTCTGTGCATCCTTGTGTCTGCAGAAAAACCACATTCAGAACAAAGTGGAGGCACAGCAATCCCCGCACAGCAGGTTTTCAGTGTCAATAAAAGGCAAGACAAATAGTTTGAACTGTACTGAAACATGGGGCCGATCAAGAAAAATGCATCTTTATTCAGCTAAATGGGTGGTTGTATTACGTTTCACTTTCTCTAGCCTCATTCTTATTCCCAGTGTTTGGCAATCCCCAGTGGACTGAGCAGAGTACACACATCTGCAGATCTTGGCACATTCATATGGACCTCTCCATGGGGAAACCAATGCGGTGTTTATGACATTGAATACTATATATTTCAATGATTTACAAATTAAATACCAAGGATTTGGTAGCATTTGCAAATAATTTATACAAAACGAACAGATTTGCAGTATTTTTTGGAATATATGTAGTATTTATGTACTTCGATTTATAATAGTAAAGTATCGGACTTTCTCACCAACTGTGGGGTGTAAAGTTTGGCACTGAAAATGGGGGTCGACACAGTTATAATTATTTGTTTTTCATTAGAATACCTCTGTGATAATCTGAAGCACTAAAATAAATGTGCTTTTTCTTCTAGAGTATAAGTGGTAAAAGGTCAGTTATCATTTGAATGGAAATTCCAGTTGGACATCACTTGCAGCGGGCCCCTTTATACAGACGCCGCCACAACTCTGTTTACATTTGTAGAGCTGGCTGTCAGCTTTACAATAGAAGCGATTCTGGCGGCTCAGCTGCGGCCAGATCGCTTCTACAGTGCCCAACACCCCCGCCGTGTTTTTTGGACTCTGCTGCCCCGAGACTGGCATCTCGGGTGTCAGCAGGAAGCTGGGGAGGAGAGCGACGAACGTCCGTTCACTGATCTCCTCCCTGTTCTATGGGACTGGCAGCAATACGTATTTCATCACTTCTGGTCCCTGAGCTGTCATTGTTTGGCTGCTGCAGCAATAAGCTATTTGAAGTGCAATCTGCACTTTTAATAGCTTATTTAATGTGGAAAGATGGCACAAGGGTCTTTTGGACCCAAGCATCATGTTTAAAGAGGACCTGTCACCAACAATATGCTATCACTTGGGTGGGTCTTCTAAGCCCCCCTACGTAATGGCAATTAAAGTAAACAAAAACACAGTTAAAAAAAAAAATTTAATAAAATAAATCTAAAAATAATTAAAAAAAATGTTTAAGTCCTCCGCAAGCAAGCGTGCATTCACATAAACGCGTTGGTTGCGCCTACGTACAAAAACGTTGATTGCACTACACGTTTTGGTATCGCCACACACGCCATTCTAATATGTATGCGTATATCGAAACTGATGACCTGTAGGAGCTCATAAAGCATAGTCTATGGACTTGGGGTACTGAATTGTGTCACCGTTTCACAAATGCACACAATTTTTAACCAGGGCATGTTGGGTATCTATTTACTTTTGTAACCTCCTTCCTTATATTTTACACACAAAAAAATGGGTATTATGTTGTGTTTTGGGGCACCAAATTTAACTTAAGTGCATTTTTTATTAATGTTTGGGCTTGATAAAGAGTTGCGCTAATATCATGCAACATACAAATTTGCAACTGCTGCCATTTAATTCTACAGGGTCTTGGCTTTCAGAAAATATATTATGTTTGGGGGTTTGAAGTAATTTTCAGGCCTAAAATGTGGATTATAACATACACAAAAAAACGAAAAAAGGCCTTGGCAGTGAAAGGGTCCTTAAGGGGTTAAAAACGTTGGTCAGCTTTTACTTGCCATAAAATGTTCTATTTTGTTTAGCTTGTGCTTCCCAATGTCAAGCGGCATTGTAAGGAGAATTAGTCCATTATTTCCTGTTTCAGCTACATTAGAAGTGAGAAACGATTTAGTAGTAGTTTTGTGATTTATAGAAGTACAAGAACATGGTTGTGTATTTAACATTAAGTGTTTCTTTTAAAGGTTTGCCATCCTTTGTGGGCAACTATCAGATCATGAAGGCATTCAGAAGCGCATTCAAATTGGATACATTTTCAAGGTATCTGCAACAAGCTAATGTAAACATTGTGATGATGATTTGTTGATTGGGAACAAAAGCATTATTCCAAAGAGTGTTCAATCCATTTTTTAAGTATTTCTGAAATTTTGTTATTGGCCGTTTTTACGTTTTTAGTCGTTTACTTTTCATGTCAGGAGCCACGTTACATTAATTTAGTGTTTTGTTTTTTTTTTGCATATACAATTTTTGAGTCATAACAAGAAATAGAGCGGTACAAATGACCTGTATCAATTAGGATACAGAGTAGTAAAAGTAATGAAAGAGGTTACATTGTTGTACACACATCAACCAGAAGATGCATAGGATACAGAGGAACAATTGGTGAAGTAGATGTGTCTAGCATCCAAAAATTTACAGAACATTTGAATAAACCAAAGAAAAAGGGGCTTGGGAACAGTCTGGGCCGGTGTTCTATCGAAAGTTCCAACTTATCGGCGGCCATATTGAGTGGGGCACCTGAGATTAATAACGTGCTGGATTAGTGTGATCCTACTTCATTTTAATACTTCATTGCTGTGGTTTATGTGTATAGGGCAATGCCGCGGCTGGCGCACATGCAGAAGAGCTTTCTTGGCCAAACTTTCTGGTAACTAAACCGAAAGTCAGGCAGTTGGAGAACTGCATAAGTTGGAACTTTCGATAGAACACCGGGACTACATAGCACAGTAGAATCATCTATGAAGGTAGCATAACCAAGTAGATTAGCAGATTAGCGAGCAGACAAATTAGGATCGTGCAGTGCAGTATGGACGGATCTACCAAGAAAAGGTCATTTAGTTTTTTTCATGTTTGTCTTTTTCAGGAACACATTGAAAAAGCAATTGCTCTGCAGCCTAATGATCCACAATGCTATTATCTTCTTGGCCGTTGGTGCTATGAGGTATGTGTGCTACTCTCTGAAATATAACAAGCTGTATTTTGTTAGACTTCTATTACATCTTAATGTATAAAGTTCCACTCCAGGGGGAAATACTACAGCAAAATATAACCACCAATATAGCTCAACAAGGGAATTAAGGCGGAACTATATTGCTCACTACAGGGATTGTAGTCTGCTGTTAGTTCTCTGTATAACATTACATAGCCCAAGTCAAAGCAACCAGACTTGCTTTATTTTTCTTGAAGACGTTTCATTGATCATCCAACCAGCTTTCTCAATTCAGAATGACTTGTACAAAAATTATCTGGGAATAAATATGGTGAATGTCGCTCCAATCCACATAATCTGTTAGTCGCAACCAGGTGTTGATTGCGTTTGCATAATTGGAGTCTAGGAGGTGTTATTAACCTGCCCAGAGAGAGAGGCGTTAAAACAGCATTGTATGTGGCAGACAATAGATGTCTCCCCCCCCTAATTAATTCTGAATTGAGAAAGCTGGTTGGATGACTTGTGTTCTTTTTTTTTTTTTTTTTTTTTTTTTTTTTACAGATATACCATGACCTGGATGAATGAGAACCTTCACAGACATTATATAGCCTGTTTTTCCTGCACATAGCTTTGATATGGTCTGCAATATATCAAACTATTTATATCACTCCCAGCCTCAGAGGAGCTTACAGTTCCCTACCACAATGTGTCCGAACAGACACGTGCATGCACTTAGGCCAATTGGGTTAGCAGCAAATATGCTGCTGGAATGTGCTGGGTTGTTCTGGAAAACTAGAGCAAAATCTGCACAAACGGGAGAAGAGGACAATCAAGATCCATGCAAATAGTGCCCTAGTACCAATTGGAGCCCAGTACCCATGGCTGCAAAAAAGAGTTGCCGCGCACTCAAACATTGGTGCAGTTAAACTTGCACCACTAGATTTTTCCTACTGCGTTCTTATTGCAGACACTACTGTTTTCCTCCGATCCATTTTCTTTTTTTTTTTTTAATCTCTTCATATTTTATCTTATGTCCTACCTATCACTTCTGTACCTTGAGATGTTAACATATTTCTTTCAGGATACTCCAGCAATCCCTATTGCCCATTTCATGTCTGCATGCTGACTTATACCTGCTGAATGACAAGTCCATTCTCAGCTGTTGATTGCATTTTTTACTTCTAATATCTAAAATATTTTAGTTTTTAATTATCTAGATTTTTGATTCCTCCAAGTTCCATATTAGATAGCCAGGAAAGAAGTACAGAATATCTGCCCATTTAATTTTGCTATGTGCTTGTTGTGCTTGCTTATATGGCTTACAAACATTTAACGTACAAACGTTAGTAGCAGGTAAAGGATGGTTCCAGTTTTATCTCAGTTTTTATTTCTACGTGCTTGCTTATATGACTTACAAAATTGTAATGTGCAGAGCTAGACATTAGAAGCAAGTAAAGTAAGGTTCTCCTACCAGTGAACTTAAAGAGAACTTTTTAATTGAAATATTGGTATGCAGAGCAGGCATGTTAAATGGCGTTTTCAGAAAATGGCCTGTGAGGGACTGCGTTGGACAGTCTAATCATAGTATGTCACCGGGGGTAAGAGTACTCCTCACCCTGGCAAAAGAGGCCTAGGCCTCAAGCTGGAAACACTTATTACCCCCAAGATTCTAATCCCCGTGTCCCAGGCCATCCCTTTTATGAGATATCTGGTAGACCTCTTGCTGAGGGAGCAGTCAGTACAAGTGTTGACTGGCGATATAACGTAGACAGTTCAAACCCTGCAAAAGTTCAGTTCTATCCAGAACCTTCAGAAGTCAGTGTTGAGAGTGTATAGGCTATATCCTGGACACAGCTCAAGCAAAAGTTTTTTCTTCTCTATGAGAATCTTCAAAAACTCTGCTTCCAAACATGGACTCTTATGTCCAAGTTTTATCCTTCTCTTCACTTTTGCAGAAGAGTTCTTTATTCAACCTCAAATACTATGTAACTATGTAAATGTCCTTGTCCTCTACAAGGCAAGGCTGCCAGTTTAGACAAGTGGCTTGCAAAGGTTATGGCATAATTAGGAATGAGATTCATATTCAGGCGTACTTGGGTAAGAGGCAAACCCAGCTTGTGTGCAGTTCGCCAAACTAATTAGCGAGTTCATCCACTCGAATCCCCAGCTTTTTTGATGCAAACAAACAGCTGGGGATCCCAGGCGACAATATTGATCAAATTCTGTCATTTAGTGATGGGAGTGTGACGGGGTAAACATTGGCAGGCATCAAGTCATTGTGATGAATGAGGCTTTACATCACTGGATGACTTGCTCAGCAATGGATTTATGTCAGGTGACATATTTTTAATTGTTTATGTAATATAATGATAGAACTTTTTCTAAGGTGTGTTTATTTACATTTAACTTGTCATGGAAATGAGTAATAAGGATACGAATGTACCACTGTAGTTGCTCCCCTCAAAGTTGATAGATATGATATCTAAGGACCCCGTTATCTTAAAGGGGGCTTCCAGATTTCACTTTCAGCCATGGGGGACTGAATGTTGGAAGAGGCCCTTGTCACTTAACACTGGGGCAAGGTGCCTTGCAAAGGGGGGTGAACCCCTCTTGCAAGGTACCTCCCAATGATAAAAAGCATGTGGCTTGGTCTGGTACAGGAATGGGAGGCTGAATGCTTGCTGCCCTCCCTTTTTCCCAAATGTATCACTTCTCCCTCACTTTTAGATTGTAAGCCCCTTACCATCTTGTCTTGAATTGTATTGTGATTCTAATGTCTTCCTTATATTGTGAAGCGCTGCGCAAACTGTTGGCGCTATATAAATCCGGTATAATAATAATGCCCACCCGGGTGCATGCCTGGATAAGGGTCTGGTTGTAATTTTAAGGGGGAACCCCAGGGTATTTTTTTCCTTGGTTATAAGGTGATTAAAGGAGAACTATGGGGTCAGTGTTTTTCCCCATAGTTCTCCTTAGGGTAACGGGAGGGCACAAACTAGCATCCTCCCGTTACCCTAAGCTCAGTATACCGCGAGCTACAGCTCGCGGTATACTGAGACGCCGGAGCGAATCCCGACCTGGACGTCAGGATCCGCCCAGCTGCGTGAGTGACAGCTGGCTCTGCCTATCTAGAGGCAGAACCAGCTGTACCCACCCCCTCCCCCGTCCGTTCCGCCAGTCAGCGCTGGCGGATCGGAGCGGGGAGAGGGGAATCCAGCCCCTCCCCCTGTCATGGCAGAGAGCCGTGACAGGATCGAGAGGTGAGCAAACCCGGTATGTGTTCGCTCACCTCCCGATCTACTGAGCCGACCTGTGACAGTCTCATTGTCACAGGTCGGCTAGAACTATGAGGTGAGTGGAAATTACTCATCTCATAGTTCTCCTTTTAATCATTACTTCTGCTGAATCTGTGTATAATATGTGTATAATATCCCTGTTAGGTTGCAAATGCCTGTGCCGTATTTTTAGTACACAGGTGAAACTCGAATAATTAGAATATCGTGCAAAAGTAATTGCAGTAATTGCTGCAAAAGGGGCCCAAACCAAGTACTGAGTACATATGCATGCTTGTACTTTTCAGAGGTCCGATATTGTTCTATGTACAATCCTTGTTTTATTGATTGCATGTAATAATCTACTTTTTTGAGGTTGTGGATTTGGGGTTTTCATGAGCTGTAAACCATAATCATCACAATTATGACAAATCACGGCTTGAATTATCTTGCTTTGCATGTAATGAGTCTATCTCATATATTAGTTTCACCTTTTAAGTTGCATTAGTGAAATAAATGAACTTTGCACGATATTCTAATTATTCGAGTTTCACCTGTACTGCCATTTTTGTAATCTACCAGTATACAGTATATGTATTTTATCAGTCTTTTGTTCCTCTGATATGTTGGGAAAGAAACTGTAAAACCAAATAGTCACTTGCATCTGACCCCAGAAAATGTGTAAAATTTTGATTCTAAAGTGCAGGGGACATCTTCTTGTGGACATGTCACTTGAAGGTCCTGCTGCCTATTCTGAAACATAAATGATTCCACAATCTCTTGTTTGTACAGGTCTCTAATCTTGGATGGTTGGAGAGAAAAACTGCTTCTGCCTTGTATGAAACTCCACCAAGTGCTACCATTGATGAAGCTCTGCAAAATTTCCTGAAGGTAAGAGTATGTTCTTTTTTTTGTACAGTGCCAGTACACATTTATTTTTTTCCCCACCTCTAAAGTGGATTTATATGCAAATTGTAACTGAAAGCTGAACTCCAGTCAGATCTAATAAGTCAAAGTAAAATAATCCCCTTACCTTTAGCTAAATCTGTAAGGATTTTTTCAAACCGTACAGAATTTCTTGAAGTCTCCTTGAAAGGTGTGCTCCACAAGACTAACTTGCTACAGTTTCCAGGTAATAAGACCTGTTGCTGTAATGCTCTCTTTTCGAGCTGGGAGACAGGTCAGTTTACCACCACTCTATAGTTCTTCCAGGGCATCGCTAACATCCTTATGTCACCTGCTCAGGGAGTACCTGGTCTGATAATTGCCCATCTCATCAGCATTTGATTGGTATTTTATGAAAAATGTGTTACCGTCGCAAAGGATCTGAGAGGCCAGCCTAACATCAATGGGACATGATGTAGGGTGTTTCACAGGTACCTCCCCCTGGCAGCCTGACATTGCGCAGTCCTACTTGAGAGACAGTGACATCCTGGCCACTTCACCTTATTTATTAACTTTCACTTTGCTAACTGAGCAGCTTGTATTTCTTTAGTAAATCAGCCCCAACGTGGTCTAAGTGTGTGCTGCATCTGAAGCCATGTGAGCAATGCAGGGTGAGGTCTAACAGGGACCTATTCCTTTTAAGAAACAGTTGTTTGTTTGTTTTTTTGCTACTGATGAAAGGATACTACTGGCGTCCTATTATTTAATTTCCTTTCTCCTACCTAAAAAAAAAACCAGACCACTTCTTTATTACGTATAATTATTTTTTACTGCAGCCTGATTGCATAACAGTAATGAGTATGTCATCTTCAGATGGGTTTCAATTAGGGATGCACCGAAAGTTTGGCCGCTGAAACATGTCTGCAAAATGCCCAGCTGTTAGCCTTGGCACAGGAGGCTGAGCTCTCCTCCCCGCACCACCCACTCAGCCTCCTGGGGCAACAAGTCAGGATGGAAAGCGGCGACAAGCACTCAACATCAGCTGATCGCTGACTGCTTGTAAATAATTGAGGACATAGTATGTTTACTGTGTCCCCAATTATGAATGAACAGGAAGGGCTCTGCATCATTATTTATGATTGTTGACATAGTAACTCATACTGTATCCACAATTTATGAATGGACAGGAACACTCACTAAAGCGGCCTCCTATTCATTCCTAACAGGGGCTGCAGAAAAAAAAATTAGGATTCTGTGTCTTCAATCTCTTTTTCTATTTCAAAAGTGAAATATCAGGGGTCTGTTTAGACTCCTGATATTTGCCCAGAGCCCCCAACAGTATAGCAAATTAAATCAAAATAAAAAAAATATTTTAAAAGTTAAAGTAAAATAGTTTCGGTGTTGGCCTGAAAATGTTTTAGTTTCACTGAAAATTCCATTTCGGTGCACCTCCAATTTCAATATGTATAGCCCCAATGAAAAAAAGAGAGAGATTATATTTTTAAGGTATACAGATAAGATGTGAATAAAGTTCAGGAGGAAAGTATTTTCTGTACGAAGCTGAGATCAAGAACAGGGGGGCATTATCTCAGAATAGCAGGAGAAAATATAAAAACTACTTTTTTTTGTATTAAATAATTTTACCAAAAGAGTAGTGGATGTTTGGAACAGACTTTAGCAGGGGTAGTGAATCGGTCAACAGTAAGTGAATTTAAATACGATTGGTACAAACGCATAAATAATAAAATAAACCTTGAATGTTAAAAAAAGAAAGTAGCAAACTCAGTAGACCATATGATCTTTGTCTACTGTCACTCTTCTATGTAACATTGTAAATTTGAAATGGAGCATACGTTTTGAAATAGTTTTCAAAATATCATTTGTTTTCTATTTATTGTAGGACACAGCAGAGATCTCCAATTTCTGACAAAATTACAATCTAGCAGTGGCCCCTGATGGTGGATAGATATGGTTTGTGCTGTGCGGGTTTACCTCACAGCCTTTACTTCCATTAGAAGTCTTGCCTTTTCCAAGCTTCCTAGAAGAGGCCATTTATTCGGGTGGTTCTGCCCCTTGTTGCTCAGTCGAGGGACCTCTCATATAGGGGAAGTTCTGTATCCCATTCGCAGCTTGCATGTCTTACTGGTAGCATTGTTTTGTACCTGCCTTAGAGGAGGAGTTTAGTTTTTCTACCCCTCAGTAGGCACTGCTTTGGGATCACCGAATAGTCAGAGATTCAAGATCTCCATAAAATCCTATTCTTTGCACATATTGAAGGACTACTGTTTGGTTGCTAAGTCTGTGACCAGGTAGTTTCAATGTACTGCTTTGTGACTACCTAATAAGCTGCCTTTAGTAGATTGGGGGTTTGACCCCTAGGGTTTGCTTTTTTTTTGCATAGTGTCTTAGATCTTTGCTGTATCCTTCACTGAATGCAGAGAAAATGATTTTACAGGTAGTACAGAAATCATATTATCCTCACAGACAAAGTAGTCTAATTGGACCAAGATTTCATCTGATTGGATAACATGACTATTAATGGCAAGACCTTAATGGTAGAATAAGAAAAGAGAAGCATCTGAATCTTGACCCATAAATAAAATATGCATTTTCAATTTAATAAGCATTCCATTTCTTTCTTTGCAAATTCTTTATTTATTTTGATACAGGCTGAGCAGTTGTCCCCAGGATTCTCCAAAGCTGCAAGGGTCTATATTGCAAAGGTAATTCTTACACTGATTGTCACAGCGCCCTGGCTGTCAGATATGTGCGCCATGCAGCATTCTTCTTATGAAGTATATACACCGAGTAAAACATATAAACTGAGTTTTGTTATGTTAGTGGTGAGGTTCTTCCCCCTTGCTTCTGTACATAAAATGCCTCTTTTATGGTTTCAACATTTTCTGAACAGGAGCCCCTTGCATTTCCTTAGCCAGTTTCTGTTTTGCACTCTTATAAATACTCAATATTCATATCCTAACAAATTCATCCACCGTCAGTGTTACATTTCTCAGACCGCTGAACTCTGTGCGCATTCATACCATTAGGAAATGTTTTAGGAATGCAGAATTGTATCCTATTCAATAAACTGGCACACTTTTTGCTTCTCTAAATTAAAGGTATGTTTCTACATAGAGTGGAGTGATAGCATCGTGTTTCCATATGGAAATCATTACTTTTTTTTTTTTAACTGGTTGAAGAATTTTTAAAAATACTTTTAACAAGTTTTTGTAGAGCATAACGGGAAGTAATTGAGGAATTGGCTGTACGCCAGAGAAAGGTGCTCTAGGGGTGAGCAACTTATATTAACAAGTGCTATATCAGCCTGACACAATGACTTTATTGTGCTGTTCTGCTAAATGAGGTTTTAACAATCTGCACTTCACTCCTCTGACTTAATGAGGTAAAATATGGCTTTGAAACCAGATACAGATCACATCTGCAGTGCTATCCTTCTTACTACTTTTGTTGTTGTTAAACTAGACATTCTAAGCATGACTGCTTGTACCGTGGGAAATGGTCATCCTTCATATGAGTTCTTCTGTTCATTTATACACGTCATGTTTTGATTCCACAACATTTTTATATTAGAAGGTTTACTATATTAGTGAAAAGGCTGATTCCTTAATAATGATTTTTTTTTTAAGTGCAGCTCCATATTTTTTTTCATTTTTACAATTTTGACATGAAACCGGGTACAGGGCAGTGAAAGCCTCACTATTGCACATACCATTTATTATATACCATTCCACTGATAGAATGACTGATAAGTCAATCAGTGCCTGCTGAAGTCTAAGTTGCTTTATTTTTTATGATAATAACAGTGGGCAGCATAGCAGAAACAAGGAACAAAATTTACTGGACTCTTCACGATCCTGTAATGGAACTGTAAAGCTGCCCAGACACTGTGTTAAAATATTACACATTCCTCCATCAATGCTTACGCCGCCGGCCGCTGTCAGTGTACCTGAACAGAGCTGGCAGCTCATTGGCTAGCTCTGTTTGTGCAAAGATTTTCCGACCGGTTCCTTCCATCAGCTGATTGAGGGATGTCTGCTGAAAGGCTGCCGACAGTGGCACCCACTGTACACAATCGTATAGTGTATGGCCTGCTTTACTGTTATAGAAGTCTTTGCATCCAAACACGTGAAACAATCATAACAATGCCTTGTTTTTTCTGGGATGTCCTATGTAATTTCCACAATAAAGTAAGTTACCCTGCCATGACACAAATATGGCACTGACCTGGAACAAGTATGCAAATCAGTATAGTGGAGAGGAATCGGAAGTCTTTTTATCTGTATAATTCATGTCATTTATTCAAAGCATTATAGCAGCATCACAACCTGGAAACATACTTTTCTGCCAGTTTCCAGCCGAATCAGCTGAAATTTGATCCCTAGGTGGCCCTGCCGGCATCACCAGGCTCGACAGAAGTCAGTTTTTCAATCAAGGGAGTCGGGTGGAAGAATGTCAGCTGAATGGTGACTGCAAACAATCATATGCAGTCACAAGTCTGGTATTCTGACACCAGTGGGTGCCAGCTCTCAGAATACAATAGCCAGCAGGGGAGATTCCAACAGCCACACACTTTAGCTCTGGGGCAATCAAATGATTCCTCTCGTTCAGCCCCACAGTCAGAACGAGAGAAATCCAACTGTGTATGGCCAGCTTTAGTTTTCCAAAAGGAGAGATCAATACTGACAGCATCTGGGATTATTGTAAGTCATCAAGTGCTTGTTCTGACCTTTATGGTATGGTATGGCTATTAAGGTTGTGTGCGCACAGATCTGTATGATAGCTAAGTAACCTTGCAGATTGGGCTTCTTTTTACATTGGGTAAGCCCCATTATTTCCTCCCAGGGTTTCTTCATAAATGGAGCACAGTTGTTCCCTTGGCCTAAATGAGGTCTTACAAGGAACCTGTCAGGATGGAAATATGGGAGCTGCAATGGTCAGGGATCATCTGAGGTTGGACTCTTGGTGCCAGGCTGAGTTGCCTGACCTTACACACTGTCTCCCATCTTCTGTGAGAGCAGTAACAGCAGCTGTCCAACTTCTAGTGACCTCTGACACCCTGACATGCCAACTAAAGTATCAGACCCAGAAAATAAAGCTAATTAAGGGCAAAACCCATAACATTTGTAATTACAGTAACCTGCACAATTATTAAAAAAAATGAAATTTAATTTTACTACACAAGCCCACTTGTGACTGGTACTATTTAATATGTTGTGTATAGTGGGAAATTACATGTTTTCCTTTCCCTCCCCTCACTTTGAAAATGTGAACATAATGGATAATGCCAGCACTTATTTGGCTCCAGGTGTATGTAGGGCCCAAGCTTTAGTAATTTAATCATTTATTTATTTTGGATATACAAATCTCTTGGTGGTCAGGGGAATAGCATGAAACGGCTTTACATTCTATTAAAGAATCTCAAACTTATTTGATGGGCTCTATTATTATTTATTATTTTTATTAAATTAACTGTTAACCTCCTCTTTGAATTTTCAGTGTTACATGGATTTGGGTGACCTGAGTATGGTCAACCACTGGGTAAAACTGGCAGCGGAGCTTACAGAGATAACAAAAGAAGTACGTATATTTCCTATCACATTGCCGACCATTTTATACATTTTTGTGGACTGCTGTATTTGACTTGCTACCCAGCAGTACCCATGCATGCATATAGTTCATGGGATCGTAAGCCCAGACGCAAGTCAGATTTTTATTAACATTATGATTTTTTTTTTTTTTTTTTTTTTTTTTTTTTTTCTTCCATCAGGCTATTTAAGGTAACATGTAGAGCCTTCGCCTGCACTTGGAAAAGTGTAAATTGCATTCAGTAGTAACATTATGTTTCTGGTACAAATCATGGTAAAGTTAAATACAAGTTAAAAAAGGCATTTTTAAAAACAAAATGTTATCAATTTGTTTTTTATAAATGAAACCCTTCAGAAATTTTAAAATGTTTGTATATAGCTAAAAGAAAAATGTTCACATTCAAAGGTTTTTGAATAGCTAAAAGAAAAAACAGCAAAAAAGCCTGAGTAGCAAAATGAAGGATTTAGGTAATTCGATTTAAATTGTGGTTAAATTGGAACAATTGAAAAAGTGTGTGTGTGTGTATGTATGTATGTATGTATGTATGTATGTATGTATGTATGGTGTGTGTGTGTATATAATATTCTTTGCACAGCAGCTGGTGTGAATTGGCCCTCACAGCTGCATATTTACTTCACTGTTCAGTTTTGAAGCTGGATCACTCTTCTTTCTCTTGCTGTATGTCTTCTTTAGGACTGAACTTCTGAAAGATATAAAAGACACACATGCAGCTCTGTGTATATTTTTAAATTTAATTTTGTAAATGGTTTTAAGTACCTGAACCGGAGGTGGTATGAGCTGTTTGCAACCCTTTGTACAGCAGACCTCCCTTGTGTGCTCCATATGAGAACATGTCCCAATAGGATTTCTTAGAGGGACACCCTCTCTTTGTTTTTTCCTCTGATATCAGGGGGCCTGCTATCTCTTCCGGGTCCATGCAGCTGATCTCCTGAGGACACACATGTGATGCTTCATGTCATCAGGGGCCAGCTGCAGCTGTACCCTTGAAGATACCCCACAGAGTACCCCAAGTCCTCTTTTGGATGCGTGACATGATTCTCCTAGGAGGCTGCGGGTAAATGTAATTATTGCCAAAGTGATAATCCAGCAATTTCAAGGATGTGTTCCCCACAAAAAAGTATTAAAAGAAAAAACTGTCCAATTGCAAGAGGGGGGAGGGGAGCAGTGGAATGATGGAATTTGGGTGGTAAAGGAGAAGATCCTATTTAAATAGCAATATTTTTTTTTATTGCTCGAAATAGCCTTGAGATTTTAATGATAAAATTGAATATTTCCGGAGTGCTTTACTTAGAGGTAATTATTGAACACTGTCATCATGTGGAATCATTTATATGCATTGTAATGTTTTGTTTGTTTTACATCAGGATAAAGAAAGTTCACCCCTCTTGGAGGAGCTGATGATGTCCTTCAGTACAGAAGAAATACTTTGACTACCTCAACATGATCATAAATCCATTTTACTGGATCCATATTAATGTAACCTTTAATTTTAGGGAAATAGTACACCAGTATAAAATGAAATTTCAAATGGTAAAACGTAATTTGAAATTATATACACATTTTTAGAAGATGGATATCCACACATAGGGATTTGTTTTAACTTCATTTTTCAGGCTCCAGGGATGTAGCTACGTGCTTGGAAAGACTATGAGCACTTAATAGTAATATTGGTGAAATGCAGAGAAGTGGAAGGTGTGTGTATGATATACATACTGTATATGTGTAATTCCAGCAGCTTCAGGAGATGGATCTTTTATTAAAGGTTTATGGAATCTTGTTGTTGTTCCTAAAAATTTTAGTGTTTCTATGGGGCCGAGATAATCCAGATGAGGACTTGTTTTAAAGCTACAGTCAAAATTGTCTTTGTTTCTGGCAGTGAAGGGCCTAAACCCCTGTGGGATTTTTATGTCTTTCTGTCTCCCCATTAGGGAGCTTTCCTCTCACTTTCTGTCCAGGTGACAGAAAGTAATTGAAAATATCTTCTATAGGGGCACAACAACAAGAATGCTTCAGAGAAGTTCTATCCTTTCTCCTTCTATTAAAAACTATGTTTTTTTTTAAATCAACTGGGGTTATGCTTTAAAGCATGCCTAAACCCTGAATTCAAGTACAGATGCCCCACCCCCTCCTATTACTGTGCTATATCTAAAATTAACATACCTGATCTTCTAACCATTTGGCAGGACCTGGTTTTAAATTGATACAGGGCAGCGGGTGTTTCTGGTCCCTTCCTGATCACAGCCATGGTGGGGAAGTGGAACCTGTGTGAGGGAGAGGCACTGGGCAACAAGGGGTGGGAGAAACTTGACTATAGGGCTTAGGTCCATTTTACATGCTTCGAATGGGAATTATTTCTTGCAAGTCTGCTATTGTCCACAATCGGCTCGTGCTTTGATCATCTGCATGCATTAGTGTCCATATTCTAAATGTCAAAAAATCCAAACCTGACCAAGCTACCATGTCCACATGTCCGTCTGTTTTAACATGTTTTAATTGGTGAACACATAAATATTATTTTTTTATTAACCAGTCTTTGGCACATTCTGCTGGGTGTTTATTGTATGTAATAAAATGTTTTAGGATATATATTCAAACTAATGTAATATTTAAAACATGCTGCCTTCATGTTTGGAGATGATCATTTTACATCTTTGGTTATGATCACCATTAAAACTAAGCATAGCTAATTATAAACTGAGAAGTCCCTTTAAAAATCTGATTTGGTTATCGGTGATTTAGGTGTAAATTCGTTTTTTAATATGTTGTCCTATTTTATTATTAAAACAGAGCAGCAGAAAATGTGCTTGAAAATACTTCCAGGAGAAGAAAATTACAAGTAGAACTGCCTATTTCAAAACCATATTCAGTATGTCCTGTCACTACAGAGTCACCACTAGGGATTCACCGATACCGGTTTTTCTGTATCAAGTATGAGTACCGAAATGTTTTTTTTCCCGGTACTCGCCAATACAGAGTACTGGTGCCTTGTGCCCCAATTATCAGGAAGTCGGGCAGCCGATCATGACCCGTCGCCCAGCTTCCTGATTGCCTGTGAAGCCGGTGTTCTAGCGAAAGAACACCAGCTTCAGAGGCTGCTTGTCTTCCTGACCAATCAGGTTGCCGGCCGGCGAGTAATGAGGTGCCATTAAGCTTCCTGATTGGCTTGGTTCCTAGGCAGCCTGGCTTCCTGAACAATCTGGAAGCCGAGAGACGGGTCATTACGTGGATTATGTATAGTGCTACTGGATTAATTTTCTTTAACTTGTGACTCTAGTGGCAGGGACACTTTAAAGGGAAACTGTCAAGATAAAATAATGGAGGCTGCCACTGCTGACCTCTACTTTTAGGATGACAGTTCGCTGGCTGTCATGCTGTTGCTTTGACTTGCATGCTACCTGAGTCAATGAACAAGTATAGAGCTAGGTAATTGTGACCAGTTGTTACAGCAAGGCAGATGCAGCCAGACATCTGACATTTTCAGAAAGAGGCCAGCAATGGCAGTCCCCATACTTTTCTCATAGCAGAGTAACTTTAAGGACAATTCAGCTCAAACTGATCAGAGATTTCAAGTTATCCGATGACCACACACAAACTGGTGGACCAGAGAGGATGATAGATCGAGCTGGAGATCTGTATCAATAATTAAGTGGCTAGACTATATGGCCACTAATATTTAAATGGAATTCTCACACAGTCTAGTGCCTTAAGTTGCATGTAAAGCCTGTCCATGTGGTATAGAATAGGTTCTATTCCATAGCTCTCTTTGACTTGGGCTCAGTCAGTGAAATATTTGAAGAGTTTGCTTGAAGTTCATCTAAAGGCCCATTGTATGGCAGTCTAAACAAGTTCTCAATCCAGTTACTATGTGGTGCACTAGGTTCATAAATTTAAAAAACTCGCTTTACCTTCCCTGACTGAGCCAAATCCTCTTTGACTTGTGTCTCACACACTCCCTCTCCCAGACACTACAGCTCACAGTGGGAGGGTTTCAGCATTAGAGGCTGTGCTGTCCAGAAAGCAGTGGGCAAGACTAGATGTGGTCAGGTGCCAATTGACAAGTTATCTGGCATGTAAATCAGCGGTGACGATGCTAATGGTCACATCCCCTGCAAATTTTTTTGTCATCCTACTGTAGTGGAAGCCAGCACAACCTGCATGAAAATGACAGCTCTGCCCTCACTTCAGGTGCAGTGCTGCTTTGTTGCCACACCATCACAGAAATCTGCATTAGGTGGACTTCACCGACAGGCTCAACAGATATTTGTGGGACTTTGCAGAGGGACTGAGAGAAAATTATAGGTGCAGGTGCACTTATATCAGGTGCTACAGCACAAGGGAGGCCTACATTAGTTCTACATTAATGGCATATGATTTTATTCATTGAAGTGTACCTGTACTGGGATTGAGTATCATAGGCTGCTAAGTAGACCTTATGGTATTGACCTGCATGTGCCTGAATGTAATGTTCATCCTAGCACTTAGAAAATATTTCTGCTTCTAAACATGTGGCCAGCCTTTGTTTTCCTTTTTGATCTGCATGCATTGAAAGTGTTTAATAGCTCTTGTATTTGTGTTTCAAGTCTCTAGCTTTTATTAGGTCCTCATAAGAATTTTGTTTTTCTTGTATATAACAGAGAATCTAGGGAAGATCAAATTATACAAGCACATCACCAATACAGTTCATAATGTCCAAGTAGTTATGAAGCAATAAGCCTAAAGCAGCATTTCCAAGTATCCTAGACAGCCCCAAAGATCATCATTGTGATGGGACATTTCTCTTACTGGACAATCAAGCCATGTTCAATTAGAGAAGGGAGCAGGCCTTTCACTGTGTACACATTGTCACAACAGTTTGTCCATCATAAGGAATCTTCTAGTAATACCTGATGGTGTTTATTTTCTCACTGTTTGAGTACTGCATGTTCCAAGAGCCCTGTGGGCACTGACCAGAACTAGCCATACACCCTTCAATCTCTCTCCTTCAGCCCCATGAGCTGAAATAGAGAAATGGATGTATTCCCCTATTTGTGATAAACATTGTGGATGTAGGCATCTCCCCTGTCAGGATATTGTATTCAGATAGCTGGACCTGAATACCCAAACAGTGACTGCATGTGATTGGACTTGATCGCGTTTGGTTAACAATTTTCCACCTGGCTCCTTTTGTCAAGCTGGGTGGTACGGTCAGGCTACCCATAGCTTGAATTTCCTGCTGAATCGTCTGAATTCAAGCGGTAGGCAGATATCTTTAATAATTAGATAAATGGTGAGATATGGCTCTTGAACAGACAATGGCAATCAATCCAGAAAAGGATTGGCCTGCTCATACAGATCTTTCAGCAGGCTGAAAACCTCATGTTAGTTACCTCCAAGTTCTAAAGGCACTTGTTTTGGCCCCTCGGGTGGTAAAAGGTGGCCTAATTTCTTCAAGCAAAGCTTAAATCTGGAACATCAAAAGGTAATAATTGAGCTGTCTATGACCACTCTCAAGATTTGCTTTAAGTCCATGGTATCCTTCACGGATGCTTTTTCAAAGAGATGCAGGTCTGCACTCAATTGAAATCAGTGCATTCTAGGCTGAAGATGCTTTAGGCTTGAGGGCAGGTTCACATCATTTTCCTGACCAAATCTGGTCCGGAAAATGGTGTGAACCTGCCCGCAGTTTCAGTGCATTCCAGACCAGACCAAAATAAGACAGTATTTTGTGCAGTATTTTTCTGGTCTGGTCTGGAATAGACTGCGCTGGTGTGTACATAGGCCAGAAATAACATAGTGATACATTAATATGCATTTTGGGTCTGGAAACAGTCTGGTCTGGAGATGATGTGGTGTGAATGGGCCCTGAAAGCATTGATATAATTCATCATTACTAAATTCAAAAGTCTTTTTTGACTCCTAAATTCGTAAACACTACTACTAATATATTTGAATTGTCTGCTAAGACTAAATATACTACAGTGAAAAAAGAATTTTTGTACTAATTTGTTTTTATTCTATTGTGGCACTTCGAGTCGTATATGGACTTCCATATTCCTGCTAGCTATGTTTTGCACTTAGAACACGGTGCATGTTTCTTCACATATAGGTGTTTAATGTCTTTCATCATGTTATTGTATATGACTACATCAAACAAGGCCAAGAGGGAAGTCCCTGTAAAGTTCATTACCCTGATGGTCATTCATCAGAATTCAGTCTTATCTGCTGGTTAACATGCAGGCCTGGAGAGTTTGCTTTGCATCAGACATTTTGAATAGATAAGCCACATATTTTCCCTGCACTTTTTTATTGGCCAAACTATAGAGGTTTAAATATATTTAATGTGTTCATACTTTGCGCAGATAAGCCCCCATTCACAGTAGCGTAATGCGTAAACATGAGCAAAATCCTGAGATTATGTGTGTGTTTACAAAATGTGTGTTGCCCTTGCAAT